GAGATTGACTCCTTTACTTTACTGATGATGTAAATTTGGTTAGTGAAACGCGAGCGCAATTTCTTGTTGTTCATCACAGTTTTTTGTATGATAATTGAGTGATATCAAAAATCATGGAGAAAGTTGTAAACCACCATATCCTCAAATATTTGGAAGGCTTCAACATCTTGAGCGATCATCAATATGGTTTTTGGAAACAAAGATCAACCGGCAACCTTCATTATATGTCACCCATATTTGGAATAACGCAAGTCTTGTCTTTGTGTTTTGTCCTTAAAAAAAAATTAAAATCGTATGATGATAATCGACAGCTTTATGCCTGCTGAAATGCCACAAGATCGTGTGGTTTTATAAAACAAATACGTAGTAATTTTTTTTGGCCGTCGGACGCATAGTCCATAATAGCCAGCAACTAAACGTTAGTTTTTCTCTCAATTTTTCGAAAACAAGGGAACGGGTTTTAAATACGTAGTAATAGGTATCTGATAATTTACAGGTTAACATTTATCAATCTCAGTATTTCAGATTCTCTAAGAAGTTTATCTAAAGTTCTGTTCTGCAAGTCGTTAACCGTTTATTACAGCTATAAGGTACGGTGGTCACAAATGAAAATAATATTACATATTGACAAAAAATTTGTTTCTCAACCATAAAGCATTAATTTGATATCGTTGGATTTGAATAAAACCCCTTACAATGGTTCAGCCAAACAGTTGTCATTTTTTCTTACAGAAAAAACGCTTCCAGATCATTTACACATTCCAAACAACTCACGGTTCAAGATCATTTTGACATCCTGTTGTACATTAGGTACATATTATTATAATTCGTTCAGTATTGTCTGAGAGTAAAAAAGTTTCAAGAATGCAAACATGTCGCTACATCTAAGAAAACAGCATAGTCGTCTCAAGCAAATAACACTGCAATTCACCCACAAAATCATTGAGATATGTTGAAAGGACAGGATGGACGATGACCTAGGAGGACAGTTCCTCGGGAGGATGTACAATGAGTCACATGTGGCCTAGGTGCTGTGGGCTTACACTTACATTCCCTACTCTACAGATACTCTCATTCTCAATATCTTATTGAAACTGCATCTATTTTTTTATAGGGTTGTTGAAGCTATATCTGTCAAATTAGTTGTCATTTATTTAGTCTATTTTACCAAATCTCCATGGACGGATATAGCATTCAATAACACGTGCAAATAATAAAATTCTTTTATCAAAATGGGTGCTCTGTTCGGGCATAATCTTCCTACCGAGAGGACTATTCTAAGCGTGGTGGATAAATTTGAGTCCACTGGTTCAGTAAACGATCGATCAACACCCGTACGTCGACCAAACGCAAGATCTACCGAAAACATCGCCGCTGTCTGTGAGAGTGTGCAGGAGAATCCAAAGCAGTCGTTTTCCACATCACTCGCAAGAAGTCGCCTAGGACTATAGACATCCGTCTTTCAGGCGGAAGTGTATAGTGTGCAAGGCTTATTAAATTGAGACCTCAAAGAAATGAGCGGATCAATATCAAAGCTGGCCTGGGAATGCCATGAAGAACTGAATGAACTTGCAAACAGGAACAAATTAACTTTTTACTGGGTGCCAGGGCATTTAGGAATCACAGGTAATGATAAAGCTGATGAATGCGCTAGACGCGGATCATCAACTTCATATACCGGGTGTCAACGAATCTATTAGACAAGTCATAACTTCTAGACTATTAGGTGTATCAAAACGAGATTTGGTACAGATAAATGGTATGTGGAGAGGAGAGTTTTCACATATTTTTCACTTTCCGGTCACTTCCGGTTTCAGCGGAAATGGCTCCGGTTCTGAATTTTTAAATGGAACACCCTGTATATTGTAACATTTTTGGATTTCTGAGACAATTCTGGATCAGAAACTGACATTTCCGGAAGTTTTTCAGCCTACTTGATTTTTTCAGAGTCACTTTTAAAATTGCATCTAGGTGGCCATGATCGGACGTAAACTAATCTATGGACCTCAGGTGATATCAGAAAATTGCAATAGCGGAG